GCTGCTGCTGCTGCTGCTGCTGCTGCGGCCGGGGGGCCCCCGCCCCGCGTGCAGCTGCCGCTGCTGCGCCAGCTGGACGTCAGCAGCCCGCTGCTGCTGCTGAGCGTCTGCGCCCCGCAGCTGCAGCAGCTGCTGCTGCGCGCGCAGCGCAGCAAAATCCTGTGGCTCTCCTTTGCTGCTTTCTTGGCCGAAAGTGGAGCAGCAGCACTTAAGACTCTCGAAGTCCATGCCACTCATGCTCCCAAAAACTTGTCAAATTTCGCTAAGACAACTTTGGCCCAAATGCACAGCAGCAGCCACTTGCCGCTGCACCACGCCCGCGCCCTCTTTGCTGCAGCAAAGCCTCCGCAGCAGCAGCCCGCCCCAGGCGGCGACCCCGCTGCTGCTGCTGCTGCTGCAGCTCCGGGCGACCCGCCCGACGCCGCAGCAGCAGACCCAGCAGCAGCAGCAGAAGCAGCAGCAGCAGGAACCTCGTCCTCGCGCGACCAACCCCAGGAGCAGCAGCAGCAGCAACAGCTGCAGCAGCAGCAGCTGCAGCAGCAGCGGGGGCTGAAGTCCGCGGCGCCAGCAGCAGACTTCTCCTTCTGGGGACCCAAAGGACTCTACTTTCCCTCGCTTGTGTCTCTCACCTGCCACAGCAGCTTGCTGGAGACTTTGCTGTGCGCAAAAGCGCAGCTGCCGCTGCTGCAGCACCTCAGCACTTGGGGCTGCAGGCTGCGGATTGGCCGTTTTCTTGCTGCTGCTGCTTCTCTGAAGACTCTGCAGGTCAGCCGCATTGGCTGCTCCTGCCGCTCCTGCTTCCTACTGCGCGTCAAGCGCACTGCAGCAGCCAGCAGCAGCAGCAGCAGCAACCGCAACGGCGCCGCCAGCAGCAGCAGCAGCTCCGGCTGCTTGAGCTGGAGGCAGCAGCCCGCCCCGCAGCAGCAGCAGCAGCCACAAGACCAAACCATTTCCAACATCGAAGAATACGGAGGCTCTTCAGCGTTTCTCTACAGGGGCTTCGCCTTTCCCAAACTCAAAACCCTCGTCGTAAGCACAAACACCCGCAGCAGCAGCAGCAGCAGCAGCAGCAGCAGCAGTAGCAGACGCTGCAGCAGATGTAATGGTAGATGCGGCAGCTGCAGTCGCTCCACTAACAGCTGAAACAACTGTAGCAAATGATAAAGTTGTAGCAGCAGCAGCAGCTGTTGCCGCTCGCTTCATTAGCAGCAGCAGCAGCAGCAGCATGAGTTTGTAGCTGTACGTGCTGCTGCATTCTCGGAGTTTCTCCGTATGTTTTCCACTTCCCACTTTGCATTGGGTGCAGTCTGCATTGTAGGTACCTAAATGCAATTGCTGCTGCTGCTGCTGCTGCTGTTGTGTTGCTGCAGCTTCGTCCGGAAACCGGGGATGGGCCCCGCGTATGGGGGCTGCTGCTGGAGGGCCTTTTCCCGCAGCTGCAGCAGCTCATATTTGATGGGCGTTTATTTCATGCCTTTAAGGACGAGCGGCTGCTGCGTGCCCACGGATCTGCTGCAGCAAGTGCTGCAGCTGCTTCTGCAGCAGCAGCAGCAGCAGCAGCAGCAAGGTGCTGCTGAAGTGGGCGCTGCCCAAACTGCACACTGTCGTGGCCCCCTGCCTCAGCGCCGAAGGCGAAGAGGCCCTTTGCCTCTTCCGCCATTTAGGTGTACGTACACTCGGGACCCACCTGGGCTACGTCTGCTCCCAGGCCACGATGCAGCGGGTAACGAAGGCTTTGCCGCTCATGGCCACTGTGGGGCCCTTCGTGCAGCAGCAGCAGCAGCAGCAGCAGCGGCAGCGGCAGAGGCAGCAGCGGCAAGTTTGGAAGCAACGGCCCGCTGCTGCTGTGCCCATTTCTTCGCACTTTATTTGCTGCGGAGCTTCTCAGGAAAGAAACGGAAGTTTGGGGGCCAAGTGGCAGTCCTTAGTGCTCACTTTCTTCCAGGTGCAGCAGCGCCAGCAGCAGCAGCAGCAGCAGCAGCAGCGCAAGCAGCAAAACCGACACTCCAACAGCACGCGCAGGTGCAGGGACGAGCAGCAGCAAACCAGACGCAGCGCTCAGCAACCTGCCAGGCGGTGGCCTGCAGCAGCAGCAGCCGCAGCAGTGCCTGCAGCAGTAGCAGAAGCAGTAGCAGCAGCAGCAGCACAGCGGCCTCCAGCACCAGCTGCAGCAGAAAGCGAGGCACTTACAGGCCCAGCTGCTGCTGCGCCAAACCTGCTGCCAGCAGCAGCAGCTGCTGCCACGCCAGCGCCTGAGGCGGCAGCTGCGGCCACAACAGCAGCAGAAGCACCCGATAGCACCACAGCAGCAGCAGCAGCAGCAGCAGCAGCAGCAGAGGCAACAGCATAGGCAGGAGAGCCGCTGCCTGCCTAAGACTGAGACCCCTCCGCTGCTTCGCCGCGCTGCCCGCCAGCTTGCTGCTGCTGCTTGCTGCTATGTAGCTGCTGCTAGTTGCTCGCAGCTGCTGCCAAGTAGCTGCTGCTGCTAGGTAGCTGCTGCTAGCTGCTGCTAGCTGCTGCAGCAGCAGTGTCACTTCACCCTGGGTCCTGCCGTCTTTTTGGCTCAGGTCTTTCCTCCCCCTTCGTTGGGGCTTTTGGCTGGCATCAGCAGCAGCAGCAACAGCAGCAGCTGCTGCAATGCATGCGTGGCGTCCGTCTGCAGCAGCAGGCGGGCCGGGCCCTCTGCAGCTGCTGCTGCGACGCGCGCAGCACTTGCTGCTGCTGCTGCTGCTGAAGGGCTCCGAAGCCCCACAGGGCCCCAGAGAAAACCTTAAGGGTTTTCTCTCTCCAGCAAATCTGGAAATGCAGAATGCATGCAAAATAAATGTATTTATGCAATATTTATGTTATCAACTTGCTGTACTTGTGTTGTTTTATAGATTCTGCAAATGGTGCTTCATTTTAGATGACTTGGAAGGCCCGGGGGCCCCCATGGGGGCCCGTGGGGGCCCCCCATGGGGGCGGGCCCCTGGGGGCCCCCGTGGCGGCTCTGCGGCGCTCTGGGGGCAGCAGCAGCTGCTGCTGCTGAGCTTGCTGCTGCACGCAGCAGCAGCGCGAGCTCGAGCAGCAGCTGCTGCTGGGCGCGCTGCGTGCTGCAGCGCGAGCTGGGGCAGGGGCTGCTGTTGGGCTCGCTGCTGCAGTGCAGCAGCAGCTGCTGCTGGGCTTGCTGCTGCACGCAGCCAGCACACCAAAGCGCGTGGGCTGCTGCAGCAGGAAAGCTGCCGCTTTTTCGTGTCTTATTTTATATGCTTGTTTTTAGTCAGGGATAGTGCAGCAGCAGCAAACTTGTGTCACCCTCTTGGCTGTACATACACCCCAGCTCTGGGAGTGGGGGCGCTGCTGCAGCAGCCCCAAATCTGCGCCATTCATATGAGTGCTTTATGTCCTCTATTTGCTGCTGCTGCAGCAGCAGCAGCAAATGTAGCTGCGCTCTCCAGGGGCTGCCGCTGCGGCCCCAGGAGCAGCAGCAGCTGCAGCGGCGTGCCGGGCTGGCTGCACACGGAGAGTTGCTGACCCCTCTACGGGCTCTGCAGTTTGCTGCTGCTGCTGCTGCAGCAACGCGCTGCTGCTGCTGCAGCAACGCGCTGCTGCTGCTGCAGCAACGCGCTGCTGCTGTAGCGGCAGCGGCACACTGTAGCCGCAACGCTTTGCAGGTGCTGCTGCTACTACTGCAGCATCCTCTTTTTGCTGCTGCTGCCTGCAGCAAGAAAACTCGACTAGCAACTAATACGCAAAGGACCACAAAAATAAATTGAATTAAAAAGGTATTAAAAAGACACAGAAGCAGCATAAACAGGCGCTTTCAGGTCTACATACAGCAACAGCAGCAAGCAGAAACAGAAGCAAATAAAACTAAACATGCAGACGAAGTAGCTGCCCCCTACGCGGTATCAAGTTCGTGCCGCTAAAGTGTGCTGCTGTTGCCGCTGCTACTGCTGCCGCTGCTGTTGCTGCTGGTTGTTAGCTGGTGCTGTATAAGCCTTCTCGGAAAAAGATGAAATCTGGGGGCTGCAGGGGAAAGAGGACGGAAGGGGAGGGGCTGGACAAGCAGCAGCAAACTGGGGGCTGCCGGGTCCGCTGCAGCAACAGCAGCTGAGAAGCCCCAGTAGGCTGCAGCAGCTGTGGCGGCAGCGGAGGCAGCAGCAGCAGCAGCAACAGGCTTCTGCTTGTGTCGGCACTCGCCTGCATTTGCTGTGCAGACTCAACAAATTAAAACAGCAAATAGCGCTGCCAGTAACACTGCTGCTGCTGCTGCCGCGCAAGCAGCCATCGAGACACCTGCAGCAACAGCAGCAGCCGCAGCAGCAGCAGCAGATGACGCAGAGATAGAAAGCCCTTGTCAATGGCAGCGACAGCAGCAAAATAAGCAAATATATTTCCAACACAGCCGAAGACTGTATCCAACTGCAGCAGCAATAGCTGCAGCAGCAGCAGCAACAGCAGCCGCAGCATCACGTGCCCACTGGGTCCAGCCGCCATCCAGGCGCAGCCGACAGCAGCAGCAGCCGCAGCAGCCGCGGCCGCCGCCTCTAAAGCTGAGGCTTCTCCAACAAAATATTGAAATAAATAACCGAAATAGATTTTAATTACAAGAGGCAAAAGAACAGCAAGAAAGCCGAGCCTCTCTTCTTTGCAGCGGCTGCTGCAAGCAGGGGGGCGCCGCGGATCCAGGAGCTGCAGCAGCAACAGCAGCAGCTGCTGCTCCTGCAGCAGCAACAGCAAGAGCAGTAACAACGAAACGCCAGCTGATATTGAGTCTCATTAGCTGCATGGGCTCTGCTGCTGCGGCCGACCTGATGACTGGCAAGGCATCGGCGGCAGCAGCAGCAGCAGCAACAGCGCAACAGCAGCAGCAACAGCAACAGCAGCGCGGGCAAGCGCACTCAAGCCTCAAAACAATCTACGTTCATATGTTTTTGTGGGCTACAGCCCTTGTAGCTCCAGCTGCAGCTGCAGGAACACCTGCAGCAGCTGGAACTGCTGCAGCAGCAGGAACTGTCGCAGCACCAAGCCCAGCAGCAGCTGCTGGGCTGGGCGTTGCCCACACACATGGGTTAGCTGCCCCATAAACACCAGTGCGGCTTTAGTAGAAGCAGAAGCAGCAACACAGGCAGCAGCAGCAGCAGCAGCAACAGTACCAGCAGCAGCAGCAGGACCAATGCAGAAAAATGGACGGTCCACTAACCTGTCCACCAGCTGCTGCGCCTGAGACTGCTTCTAAGCCTTCGTCAGCAGCTCCAGCAGAAGCAGCTGCAGATGCTGCAGCAGCTGCAGATGCTGCAGCAGCTGCAGACGCTGCAGCAGCAGCAGACGCTGCAGCAGCAGATGCGGCAGCAGCAGCAGCAGCAGCCGATGGGGGCAGCGGCGTTGCCTCTGCTGCCCCGCTGCTGCTGCCTCCTGCTCCGCTGGAAGCAGCAGCGCCTTCAACAAATGGGGCTTCCCCAGCACCATCAGTAACAGTGGCAGCAGCTGCAGCAGCCGATGTTGCAGCAACAGCCGCTGCAGCAGCAGCAGCAAAGGCGACCACCTTACCCCTCGTCGCCCGTGTCCTTGGCTTTGAAGACCTCGCACTACAAAATCAGCAGCAGCAGCAGAAGAAGAAGCAAGAGCAGCAGCAGCAGCAGCAGCAGCAACAGCAAAAAGACGTGCTGCGGGAGACGGCGGCGCCTGCAGGCAGCAGCGGCTTGGCCGCAGCCACCAGCAACGCTGGGCCGCCGCAGCAGCAGCAGCAGCAGCTTGCCAGCAGCAGCAGTAAACCCAAGTCTGCTGCAGCAAGGAGGTTTAAATACTTGGGCTCCTGGCGCCCTTACACAGAAGATGGCAAACGCCCATCGGTGGACCCCAGCAGCAGCAGCAGCAGCAGCAGCAGCAGCAACAGCAGCAGCAGCAAAGCGGTGCCACCAGAGAAGCAGCAGCAGCAGCAGCAACAGCAGCAGCAGCTGCCGCCGCTGCGTAGGATGGGCGTCTCTATACCTGCTCCTGTGTGCCCTCTAAATGGCTGCAGCAACTGCACCGAATGCTTGCGTGTGAAGCTTTTGCTGCATTACAACAGCAGCAGCAGCAGCAGCAGCAACAGCAGCAGCAGCAACGGGCCTTCAAAGCAGTCAGCTTCTGGTGGCATGCTGCACAGTCCAACGTTGAACTCTCTCTTTGAGAGCGCAGCCCCGAGCAAGCCCAGCAGCAGCAGCAGCAGCAGCAGCAGCGCCACAGACGAGGGCGCAGCAGGTAGCGGCGGAGGGGGGAGCCTTGTTGCAGTGCAGCAGCAAGGCCTGGTTTGCTGCAGCGCAGCTACAGTGCAGCAGATTCCTGCTGCTTATAAGCCTTTGATTTCTCTGCGCATTTCTCAATGCGGCTTGAGATTTTTGCTGCCGCAGGAGCCTCCTGCTGCTTGCTGCTGCTTCAGGGAAGGCGGCTGCAGCAGCAGCGAGAGCCGCTGCTGCTGCTGCACTGCGCCCCGCACAAGCAGCAGCAGCAGCAGCAGCAGCGGGGCTGCGAGTTGCTGCTGCTCTTGCGCGGCAGACGGCCAGCCAGAAGCACTGCCGCTGCATCCTACGGTCGAGGTGAGCTGCAGAAGCAGCGGCGGATTTGCTACAGCAGCAGCAAACTGCAAGCAGCAGCTGCAGCTGCTGCTGCTGCTGCTGCTCTGTGACACAGGCTTTGCTTCCCCGGTGTGTGTGGTGCAGCCCTCCTTCTTTTGCTGCTTGCAGCAGCTGCAGCAACTGGACCTCCGCAACAACAACTTAGAGGCGATTCCTTCTCACCTACATTTGCTGCAGCAGCTGCAGCAGCTGCTGCTAGACGGCAACCGTTTGCTGCTGCTGCCTCCCTGCATCTGGCGGCTGCCCCGCCTCCAGCTGCTGTCAGCAACTTCGAACTTTATCGAGCACATTTGTCCTCCTCACCAGCAGCAGCAGCAGCAGCAGCAGCTCAATGGGGAGCAGCTGCTGCAGCAGCAGTCGCAGCTCAAGGAGCTCAGGCTGACGTCAAATGCACTGGACTCGCTCCTTTTCTTTGCTGCTGGGTGCCACGCAGGCAGCATGCAGCAGCAGCAGCAGCAGCAGCAGGCAGCTGCAGCAGACTGGAGCTGGCTCTGCGGGCGCGCTCCAGCAGCAGCGGGAGCTGCGGCCCAGAAAGCAAAAGCAGCCCCAGCAGCAGCAGCAGCAGCAGCAGCAGCTGGAGCGGCGGGCGCAGCGGAGGCTGGAGCCCCAGCAACAGCAGCAGCAGCAGCAGCAGCACAAGCAGATGAGGGGGACATTTACTTTCGCTGCGTTGCTGCAGTGCAGCTGGAGTGCAACCCCTACACCCGGCTGCCTCTGTGTCTTTACCGTCTTGCTGCTGTGCTGCAGTCGTTGGCTTTAGACTGGTGTGCTTATTTGCTGCCAGAGGGCCGCGTGCCGCAGCGGCTGCTGCAGGGGCAGCAGCTGCTGCTGCTGCTGCAGCTGCTGCAGCGCATCCACCACTGGCTGCTGCAGCAGGGCGAGCAGCGGGCACCAAGAGACGCCTACTTCCTCAGCAGCTTCTGCTGCACCCGCTGCGGCAGCAGACGCGCATCAGGCGCTGCAGCGTGCTGCAGCAACTGCGGCGCTCCCCGCAGCAGCAGCAGCAAAGACTCGCCAATTCGGGTCTGCTGCGCAGGCATTTCTTTTTCAGAGTTCATGTACTTTGCTTCCAGGCCCCCAGAGAACTGGAAGCTGGAGGACTTGACGCCGCAGCAGAAAAGCCTCAGGAGCAGCAGCACGAGCAACAGCAGCAGCAGCATTAGCTTCACCAGCAGCGGCAGTTTCTTCAGCAGCAACGAATTCAACGGCAGCAGCAGAGGCAGCAGCTGGAACTGTCCAGCGGAAATGAGCGACTACAGCGACAGCTCCGCAAGCAGCAGCGATGAGGGCAGCAGCAGCAGCGGCTCCAGCAGCAGCAGTAGCAGCAGCAGCAGCAGCAGCAGAAGGCGCAGGGTGCTGTCCCTCGCAGCTGCCTTTGCTGCTTCTCCTTCGCCTACAGGCCGCAGCCGCTTCGTCCGAGCAGCAAAACAGGGGGACGAGGGTGTGCTGCATGCTTTGCTTTCGGTAAGCAGCAACAGCAGCAACAGCAGCAACAGCAGCAGCAGCAAAAACTAGAGAAGGGTCAGCAACGGAAAAAAAGTGACAACAACAGAAGCACACTGCAGGCACAGCAGAGCAGCAGCCACAGCAGCATGCAGTAGGCGCAGCTGCAGCATTAGCAGCAGCAGGAGCAGCAGTAGCAGCGGCAAGAACAGCAGTAGACACAGCAGCAACAGCAGCAGCAGCAGCAGCAGCAGCAACACTAGATACAGCAACTGCAGCAGGAGCAGCAGGAGCTGCAGCAGCACTAGGAAGTAAAGTTGGGCCTCTCTGGCTTCCTGTTCACTCCCCAGCGCCCCCATAGATTTCGCGTTGTACTTTCCTATTTCTGCTGCTGCCGCTGCTGCTGCTGCTAATGCTGCTGCTGCGGCTGTTGCTGTTGCTGCTGCTTTTGCTGCTAATGCTGCTGCTGCTGCTGTTGCTGTTGCTGATGCTGCTGCAGGAGTGGAGAAAGGGGCTCTTTGTCGAAGATGGTCAAGAAACTTCGCCGCTTTTAACAGCAGTGAGGGAAGCGCAGCAAAATGCAGCAGCAGTTTTGCTGCTGCATGCATTCGCGCTGCAGCGCAAGGCAGCCAAGCGGCTGCAGCACATTCACGGCAGGCTGCTGCAGCTGGCGAGCCCCCAGAGCAGCAGCAGCAGTAGCAGCAACCGCAGCAGCCGCGGCAGCAGCAGGGCCCTCAGCAGCAAGGAGCAGCAAACGGCGCTGCTGAAAGACGCTAGGAGGCAGCAGCAGCTGCTGCACCGGCTGCTGCTGCTGCTGCGGCGGCTGCACCCCTTTGGCTCTCTCATGCATGTTGCTGTCGCCAACTGCGATGTGGGAATGTGTTCTCTTCTGCTCCAGTCAGCCCAAACCCTAAACCCTAAACCCTGAATCCTACACCCTTGCTCCCGAATCTGTAAACCCTAAACCCGTAACCCTGCAGAAGCAGGGAGCAGCGCTTCTCAGCCTTAAACCCTAAAAGTCTTTGGGTGCGGCAGAACTTAGCGCGCACCATGCGGGCCTAGGGTTTAGGGTTTAGGGTTTAGGGTTTAGGGTTTAGGGTTTAGGGTTTAGGGTTTTGCGTTTGCTGGCAGCTGCGGAGCGGACCCAGGAGTTCGAGATGAGGACGGCAACAGCGCGCTGCATGTGCTGTTCTCCGTGTGCAGCCGCGGCTGCAGCATGCAGCAGCAGCAGCAGCAGCATTCGCCTGGTGGCCCGGGTGGCAGCGGCTACGGCGGAGCTGCTGCAGCAGTGGCAGCAGCTGCAGCAGCAATAGAAGCTGCAGCAGCAGCAGCAGCAGCAGCACAGCACGAGTCTGGAGAACAGATGTACAAACGGGCCCGCAGCTCTTTAGCAGCAGTTTATGGGCTGCCGCTGCCCCGAGTAGTAGAAGTGGCTTTGCTGCTGCTGCTGCACCCCAAAGGGCTCGACATTTCTGCTGCCCGCGAGCAGCAGCAGCTGCGAAACCGCCTGCTGCTGCAGCAGCGCGGCTTGTTCCTGCTGCAGCAACACAAGCAGCAGCTGGCACTCGTTTGCGATGCAGACAACAGCAGCAGCAGCAGCAGAAGTAGCAAGATGGGGGGCTCGAAGCGGCGAGCTGCGGCGCCTTCCGCAGCAGCCGCTGCAGGCACAGCAGCAGCAGCAGCAGCTGCCACAGCAGCAGCAGCAGCAGCAGCAGCAGCAAACGACGCCCTGTCTATCTGCGCCTCCGCAAGAGCCAATGCCTTCAATGGGGGCTTTTGGGCCCCGCTGCACTTAGCAGCAAAAACAGCAGCACCTGAGTGTTTGCTGCTGTGCAGCCTTTTGAGGGTTTTGGCTCCTGCTGCATGCATCGCAGGTAGCTGCGTGCATGCGGAGCCTGCTGCTGCGCTCTCGCCCCTCTGTCCTGTTGGTGCTGCTGCTACTGCTGCTGCTGCTGGCGGCGACCCTTCGTGCGGCCTCGCAGCAGCAGACGCCGCGCAGCAGCAAACGCCAGCAGCAGCAACGGAAGCAGGAGCAGCTGCAGCACAGGCGCATGCAGCTGCAGCAAATGCTGCCTTGCCACAAAAAGGGACACGCCAAGCAGCAGCAGCAGCAGCAGCAGCAGCAGGTGCACACGCCGGTGCTGATGAGGCGCTGGAGGTGCTGCTGACGGCGCTCGGGAGGCTCCCTATACCGGGCAGCAGCAGCAACAGCAGCAGCAGCAGCAGCAGCAGAGCAGCAGCACTAGCCTCCTCGCTGCGGATCTGCAGATGGACCTTTGACGTGAATATCAGAGGGGGCTCTAATTGGTGGTCGCCGCTGCACCTTGCCGGTAAACCCTAAACCCTAAACCCTAAACCCTAAACCCTAAACCCTTCTCCGAACACTAAAGTCCAAACCCTAAACCCTAAACCCCAACCATTAAGTCCTAGGAGCTCCTCTTAGGTTGCAGTTTGCACAGAATCGGCGCTGCTCAATGATTTAGGGTTTAGGGTTTAGGGTTTAGGGCTTAGGGTTGACAAGCCAGCCGCCGTTTTGCGAAGCGGCCAGCAACTGTGACCCTGCCTCTCTGCTGCTGCTGCTGCTGCTGCTGCTGCTGCTACTGCAGCATATGGCGGCGATGTGAGCTGCGTGCAGCAGCTGCTGGCCATGGGCTGCTCGCCCTCAGCTGTTTCCCGCATGCGCCGCAGCCCCTGGGCAACAGCTCGGGGCCCGAAGCAGCGCTGCATTCAGCTGCTGCTGCGGCTGCGGCAGCAGCAAAACTCCTGGCGCCTTCTGTGTGACAGCAGCAGCAGCAGCAGCAGCTGCAGCTGCAGCGGCAGTGGGTGGGTTGGGGCCTTCGCTTCCAGGCACCTTGCCTGCTCTGCGGGGGCTGCTTCCCAGGCGCAGCAGTCTGCTGCTGCTGCGCTGCTGCAGGGCCAGCAGCAACAGCAGGAAGACGGAGGGAAAGGGATACAACAGGAGCAGCAGAAACAGCGCGAGAAGCGCCAGCAGGAGCAGCAGCAGGAGCAGAAGCAGCAACACCAAGCGCAGCAGAAACAGGGGCAGCAGCAGGAGCAGGAGCAGCAGCAACAACAACGGCAGGAACACCAGCAGGAACAGCAGCAGGACCAGCAGCAGCAGCAGCAGCAGCAGCAGCAACAGCAGCAAGAACCGCAGCCAACTGAGGAGCTGGTGACGGACTTCGACCAACAGCAGAACGCTTGGTAAGCCTGCAGATGGCTGCTGTCCTTTTTTGATTGCTGCTGCTTCTACTGCTGCTGCTGCTGCTGCTTTATTGCTGCTGCTGCTGCTGCTGCTTTATTGCTGCTGCTGCTGCTGCCACACCCACTGTGCTGCTGCTGTCTGCAGGAGCGCAGCGGACCCTCTCTACCCTCCAGATGCAGTTGCAGCAGCAGTCTTTTCGGCTGTGGGGCTGCTGCAGCCGACGAGTGCTGCTGCAGCAGCTGCTGCAGCTGCTGCCTCTGCTCTGGGGCTTATTGAGACGCACGTCAGTAGCAGCAGCTTCCTCAGGTGCAGCAAGGAGGTCGAGCAGCAGCTGCTGATGCGGCAGGCCTTGCGTGTTGCTGCTGCTGCTGCTGTTGAAGGTCCCCCTTGCCGCCTGCACGCTCTGCTGCAGCACGCGCACTTCCCCATTCCTGCTGCTTTGTTGCCGTTTGCTGCTGCTGCTGACATCCCCCACATTGCAGCAGCGCTGCTGCCTCTGTGCGCTGTTGCTGCTGCTGCTGCTGCTGTGCGCGAACTCGGAGCCCCAAACGAAGCAGCTGCTGCTGCAGTGGCCGTTTACAGTATGCGAGGCAGCAGCAGCACGACAAGCCGCAGCAGCGGGGACAGTGCCTGCAGCGTCGATAGCAGCAGCAGCAGCGGCAGCAGCAGCAGCAGCAGTAGCCGGCCTCAGAAAAAAAGGACAAGTGCTGCTTCCTCTGCAGCCTACTGGGATATTCGCGCCCGGAGATCTGCAGCAGAAGCAGCAGCAGCAGCAGCAGGCACTAGGGAGCCAGATATGGAGCTGCTGCAGCAGCACGGCTGGATGTACACCTCGCTGCTGCTTGCTGCTGCTGCGCATGCAGACGAGCCCATCTGCCGCTGCATTCTCGGCTCCTTAAGTTTAGGTTTGTTCGCTGTGCCGCTGCTGCTGCTTCTGCTGCAGCAGCAGCAGCAGGAGCCACTGGCGCATGTGCTGCTGATCTTAGTGCTGCTACGTGAGCTTTTGCTGCCTCCACGAACCCGTTTCGTTGCACTGCGTGTCTTTGCTGCTGCTGCTGCTGCTGCTGCTGCTACTGCTGCTGCTGCTGCTGCTGCTGCTGCTGCTGCTGCAGCTGATCGCCTTCGCGCCCTCAAACAGCGCGGCGCCTCCCAGGGGGTGACAGTCTTCCTGGCCGCTACCAAAGGCACAACCCACCAGGTAGCCCTAAACCCTAAACCCTAAACCCTAAACCCTAAACCCTAAACTCTAAGCCCTAAACCCTAAACCCTAGGCCCCAAAGCCAGGGCCACAGACCCTAGACCCAGGCCTTTACTAAACCCTAGCCCTAAACCCTAGACCGTAGCCTTAAACTTTAGGCCCCGGACCCAATGCCCGAAGCAAACTGCTGCTTATGCTGGCTTCTGGTATCATTGTCACTATTTGCTGCTGCTGCTGCTGCTGCTGCAGCTGATCGCCTTCGCGCCCTCAAACAGCGCGGCGCCTCCCAGGGGGTGACAGTCTTCCTGGCCGCTACCAAAGGCACAACCCACCAGGTAGCCCTAAACCCTAAACCCTAAACCCTA